AATGAACTTGTCCACCTTGATGATTTTATTGGAGAAACCGATTTTTTTCACGATTTCGAAATTTCTCTTACTCTGTTATGCATTTGGTTAAGTAGCTTTAAGGACTGCTCCTTTTGATTTAAAATCCTACATTTTTTGTACTTTACCAGTGTATTATTCTAATCGCATTCGCATATTCTTGCGATTTGTTACGATTTATGCGAATGATAGCGCCGATTTGTATAAAATAATATGTTCATATAAGTTGTTACATTTGAGAAGACAGTCAAACATAGAATATCCACTGCTTGCAGGCAGTTTTCTTTTACTCCCAGTCTGTGACCTGCGTCCAGGTTGCTAAAATACAGCATGAAACTGCATCTTAATCAGATCATCGCTCCGACGTGTTATTGGATTTTACTTTAAGTTCTCTGTTAAAGCCTTGTATAATTTATCATACATTATAACTAATTCAAATAATATTTTTGTGTATGTAAGTTCGTTGTTTTTTGTTAATCTTAAAATACTTAAATTGTTATTANTAATCTATCTATATAAATAAAAATGAATTGATGTTCGTTAGTCTGATTAAAACTCGAGAACGGCTGGGCCGATTGAGCTGATTTTGGTTTTAAAATGTTTGTCGTAGTCCAGGGTAGGTCTAAACGGTGAGCAAATACGCGCGCGATATTGTTTTTCTGTAACAGACAAAATTCCACGCGAGCGAAGCCGCGGGCGGAAAGCTAGTATGTAATAGAAAGAGAGGTCAATAAGTCAAAATGACTAGCATGCAACTACTCGCGTATAAATTGTAATCACGCACTTATTACAATACATACATGATTAGTCCGTATGCGTACTGACGATGTATATTTTGGAGGAAGATAATTGACCTAAGTCACTACAAAGTATACGCGAGCAGTACGCAGCGTATGCGTACTGGTCGTGTATAGTTTGGAGGAGCTTAGTAAAAAAAGTCACATCCAAACTATACTCGATTAGTTTCACACCCTTGCGTTCTGGCTATGTATAGAATGGAAAGACGCTCCGACGTGTTATTGGATTTTACTTTAAGTTCTCTGTTAAAGCCTTGTATAATCTATCTATATAAATAAAAATGAATTGATGTTCGTTAGTCTGATTAAAACTCGAGAACGGCTGGGCCGATTGAGCTGATTTTGGTTTTAAAATGTTTGTTGTAGTCCAGGGTAGGTCTAAACGGTGAGCAAATACGCGCGCGATATTGTTTTTCTGTGACAGACAAAATTACACGCGGGCGAAGCCGCGGGCGGAAAGCTAGTTTATCATACATTATAACTAATTCCAATAATATTTTTGTGTATGTAAGTTCGTTGTTTTTTGTTAATCTTAAAATACTTAGATTGTTATTAACTCTGTTTTCGATTCGATTTGTGTTGGTTGTCTCTTACCTGTTATTATTAGTCAATCTTAGAGCCAAATCACACGATGCGTTGCGACGGCTCGGCGAAGCATCGCAGGAGCAGTGTCTCTGAGTCGTCTTACTTAGAAATATCTGTGGCGGGGCATACGAGCGATGCGGCGCCGCGTCGCGCGATACGCCGAAATCTACGCGGTGCGGCAACGCATCGTGTGCTTTGGCTCTTAGGTGTATGCCTTGACTTAGTAATTAAACATCGAAAGTATTCGTTTTCAATCGAATATGATTCGGTGCTTGCCCAAAATATCTTTGAAATGACTAAATGGATACAGTCAAAGGTCAATGCTAGTTTTGTCATCATCTCGAACATTCATGATCTACAATGGTTATATTTTTTTTTGAGATTGAAACCGAACTCTATTTGAGGCTTAAGACTTAACTTGAAACTTGAGTAAAGAATTTCACTAACTTTTTATTCAATATAAGTATTAGATTTCTTTGACATTTGGAGTCAAGATCCAAATGACTGTTTCCAACAGAGACGTGCGGTAATTAGGTAATGCCTACCTGGCCAGCTCTAGATCAGATGGGTCATCGCGTTATATGATCTTAAAACCAAATTAAGTCTGGAAAATCGTCAAGCTTCGTGGAGCAATATTAAAATTAATAAAACCCTTACACATAGCATTCATACATTTATGTGAGCTTCCAACTCGTTTGGATTACACGCCGCTCAACCGCGTCGCCATATTCACGTGTTCATTAGCATTTGAACTACGATCGAGACATACTCTTACAGCCTCAACAAGATAAATGAACAGTGACTGCTGCTCGTTTTCCTCATATGTTATCTGTGACACAATCACACTCGGTATCAACATCGGCCTGAACCGCCTACATTGTGTAGACTTCGATCTGCCCGTACTACGAACATTATGCAATTTAATAGACATCTATGAATAGGTATTCAGACAACAAAGGATTTCTCTTATATCTGTTATGTAAATCTCCTCGGAGGCTACTTCACTCAACAGATGTCTAAGCAAATTTAGGTAATGCTGCATTAAATTTTATTTGTTGGGAGTGGCACATGGCTGTGTGCTATTACAATTGATGAAGTCATTTGATATTTAATCAAATTGCATGTACTCATGCTCAGTACCAGACAGCATATAAAATTAGCTTAAAAGTATGACCAATATTGTTTTTCACACCTCTACAATAAAATATTCAACGTATAATAAACTTTGTCTTAGTCAGGCAAACATGATGCGCAATTTAATTTATTTTCAAGGCTGAACGAAAACAAACAAAACTACCGACTGTTTGTAAATGAATTATTCAACAGAATATGTTTTCCAAATAAAATGATGTTAAAGTTCTACACCGCCTTTGATCTTGGTCAACTGGTTAACAAACATGTAAAAATGTTTTAAGTACCAATTAATTAAAAAATATTATTGTGTTTTCAACTGAAAGTATGGATTTCCCCTTGGCTATATCAATACAGTCAAAATAAAAATATTGTACACTTTCTCTAGCACTATGACTAACCTGAAAATTTCTGAAGGTAGGAACTAAGCAGTAATATGAAATCTAAGTATTTGTTCTTTCAATTTCTTTTCAATCTTAATAGTAAAAACAAAGAAAGAAATCTTATGTTAGGATTAGCATCTCATGGACCGTTTGTATGTGGAACCTACGCTCGTCGTTCATATTGCATTTTGTTCTATGTCAAAAATTACAAGTTTACAGGAGAGTAAAAAAACAGCGTACGGGAAAAAAATCTTTTAAGACACCAAAATGTTTTTTAACTAATGTTTCCTAAGCAGTTTGTTCTTTTTAATATAAATATAAAAGTCTTCATAAATAATTTATGTTTTGTTAGATTTTTTTTGGAATTTTTGTCATTGAACAAATTGCAATATGAACTACGGTATACAAATTTCACAATCGCCATCAAGCCATCAGCACACCATTGATTAATTAATACTAATCAACGAGAATATGAAATAATCCGCAACTGGTAACGCAACTGTTGTACCGATACAAAAGGCGATTGCGATCCGAAATCCGTTGGCAATAGACAAGAAGTAGACAATCATTATTGAATTATCGCCATTTATTTCTCATATGCGTAAATGAGGTGCGCGAGGTTTATGTGGCCGCGCGACCTTGACACGCCGGGGGAAAGTGGACCGACCGGTCGTTGGGCAACCGGGGTCGACCCCCGCACTCCATCTGCTTCGAGGTTCGGAGACTCCTGCGCATGTCGGCGCATCAGTGTTACCAGATTGCTGTTCACGAATGCAGGATACAGAATAAGGCTGAGTTGCACCACCTAACTTTGACCGTACTTTAACAATAACCGGTTTTTTTATAGAGTTTGACGTTTGTCAATGTTAAAGTAAAAGCATTTCCAAACTGTCAATCATTGTTCATTTTACTAAGCCTTTCTCTTAGAAAGAATCATAAGCTGTAGGTATATTGGTAACTTATTACATCTGAATTGAGAAATGAGGTGTAACAAGCTATGCAAATATGTTAGAGCTTTTTTGCACGAAGCTGCTGAGCTTTACCATCTCACGGAACTGATTATACCTTTACAGAGAAGTTCAAAAGTTTGATAAAAACAAATGACATCATTGACAGTAAAACTATCTAAAATAATAAAAGTATTTCTAATATTTTTTCAACCTTATCGTAACGATGACTTCATACTCCATATCTGAATTATGACTCTGAATCTTCATTAAAATCTCAACAAGGTTTTATTTCAAATTAGATGAAGTCACTATTCGATTGCTAAATCAAAGCCGCTTATTTCATGACATGATTATTTAATTGTACCTATGTATTGATATCAACTTCTTCAACAATTTTGAAATAACCAAAAACAAATTAATAAATGCCAACTCCTAATTCAGAACATTATGATTGCATTTCTTGAAACTCGATGTAGATTTAAGAAATCTTTGTTACTTGATGCGGAAAATGTGGTTACCCTATTCTGGGCAAAGGTTCAATTAACTTTGACATGTGAACTTGCAATTGCTAATCATTAACCGATCACAGTTAGATAAGTAATTGATGTACACATTTATCACACTGTAATAGTAAGATATAATTGTATAGTACATCACATGGAATGTACATTTTTATTGCAGAATCATCCTTAGTATTAGTAAAACTACATAAAGATGCGTGTGTTAGGTTTGATGTACGTACGATATCCATACGTACGGTCAGGGTCAAGTTGGTTAACTTAAACGCTAGGTTTTGCAAACCTTCGTACATTAAAGAAAGATTAAATTAGAATAATCTTCTATATAAATAAAAATGAATTAATGTTATATGATTGATATGATTATAACTCGAGAACGGCTGGGCCGATTGAGCTGATTTTGGTTTTAAAATGTTTGTCGTAGTCCAGGGTAGGTCTAAACGGTGAGCAAATACGCGCGCGATATTGTTTTTCTTGACAGACAAAATTCCACGCGGGCGAAGCCGCGGGCGGAAAGCTAGTAAATAATATATGTATGATAATCAAGGATACCTTTTATTTTATATCACACATTACATTAACAATAACAATACAATTAAAAATATTTCACAACTCTTATTCTAAGGGATAACATGATATTTTTTTATTTTTTCGTTTATCACAAACATTCTAATTTGCTAGTTATACATTTATTCTTTGAGCCTCTTTACTTTGTTTGTTCTTCATTGACTAAGCATTATAGATCTATTGGTGGTAATATTGAATGCCGAAGTTCTTGGGGCTGGGTTCATTGCGTTCGTTGGGGGGTGGCAGAGTGGCGAGATACTCCAGAGCCTTCTGAATCGCTGGTGGGGTGGGGGGAGGAGTGGGCAGATGAGCGCCTTGTGGTTGGAATCCATTTTCATCAGCTAAGTATTGAAGCTGAATCACCTGTGTCAAGATTAAAATTAAAATAAATCAGGAATTTGTACTATAAATCACAAGATCTAGTAACTTGAATCAAATTGTGAATAAGTACCTAATATCTAAACTTAGATAAAGATGTTGCCGATATGATATATGAAATGAAAAAGCTCTCAGGCGTTACCTACATAGGCAACTTTTCTATTGCCGTTAAAATAAATGTAGAATTTATCTTTGTTTTGGTTTAAGTAAACAAATTAATACCTGGCCGTCAGGGGCGGTGTACTGATATTGTCCTTGGGCAGTTTGAACTTCCTGGTCAGGCACTCCTTGGTTCTTAACATACCCTTGCTCTTCGGCTGCTATTCCATTGCCAGTTTCATAGCTAAAAACAAAAAGAACAATGTTCACCAACTAAATAAAAAAATCTATGACATTTTATTTATAAACAGAGACTTAGATTGTATAAAATTTTTATTCATTCGATAAATTCAAATAAAAATAGTAACATATGCTCCTCATCAAATACTAATGTTTCACTTTGCTAACAGCGGCTTTGCTGTGAAAAAACAAAACGGAATTCCATCTGTAGTAGAGATTAGAATTAGAAAAATATTGATCTCAGTGGAATTTAACACCAATATTACATCGTTTCTTTGTTCTAAGAAGTCGTTAGTTTTTGAAAACTTACTATTAATTAATGTAGAGCTTTTATTTTGAAATTAGTTTCGGACTTAATTCTATAAGTTCTAATTTACTCAATCCATAAACCAACTTACCTAATTTTTTTATGTATTTACTTATAATACTTACTCGTATTTTAGAACTCAAAAAACTCAATTTATTTTACCATATAAAAATGTTACTATTTACCAACATGTAGAAATTATTCATTTTGATTAAGTAATTGTTTCTTCCTGTCGTAAATGTTGATTCGTGAGGTATAAAAATAATTTACACTCACAAGTGACATACTGAAAAGGCTGTTATTAAACTAAAACAAGGTATGTATAGTACATAAATAATTCTAAACCTCTACATAAGGTGACTACAATACAAATCTATTTGCGTAGTCCCGCGGTGAACTATACCTAAGGCCAATTTCACACGGGTCGATTTTAGACAAGACAAGACATATTACATTCATAATTTCTAGTTGACATGACAAGTAACTAAAATAAGCTGTGATTATGGTAACATAATTAATATCTGCAAGGGTTTTAGTTTTTTGAGTTTTAGTTTTCTGTAGTTTCATTTATCATAGAAACTACAGAAGAGTGGCTCTCGCTTCCAGGATTTGTATTCGGTCTCTCTTTAAACCTGGGCATTTCAACATCAGTTAAATATTGAGATAAATCCCTGACAAAATCAAAGAAAATCAAGTAGCTTACCTCCACTTATATGATCCATCAGGGTTGATGACCTGCTCCTGTCTGATGATGGGGATGGGTTCAGTGGTGTACTGCTGCTGCTGCTGCTGCGACTGGTATGGCTGGAAACTGCTGACGTCACCTCTCGCTACACCCACCAGCGCAAGAACTGCCAACTGAAAACAAATAAGTAGGTAAGTAAAATTAGACTATTCGTTAAATTGATAAATAAATAGGAGATCACGATAAACACACTTGATGCTAAACTTACTAGAAACCTCATCTTGACTGAACTGCAGTTACAATAATAAGCTTACGAAAGCAGACTATGGTATGATGCACTTCGAATTCACCCCTGGTATTTATACGAAAATTTTTGTTGCAATTACGCATCGCTGCAGATTCCGTGAGTATTTTATGAGATGTACGCGACACGAGACAGTGTTGGGAGTCCCTTATTGAGCCTTAACATTGTACACAAAACGTTTGTAATGAAATACTGCAACAAACGAAACAAGACCTTAGGCTTCATTCGTAAGCGTGCAAATCCAAGACGCAAATAATCAAAATCCGACAAAAATCCATATTTCTGTGTCTGCGTAAGTTGTGTTATATACGACACTCTAAAAATGTCTGGAAATGACATTCCTCCAACATGATGTCTAGGTTAAGGGAAAACAACGAATATTTCGTCAGATCTTGATTTCACCGGCGACTTGTTGAGTTTAATAAAGAATAGTGTTTAATATACACATTTGTTCTGTTCTGAAATCAATAAACATAAGATTAATAGCTTTTGTTTAAAAGGAGAAAGTTTTCAATTATCCATTTGCATGTATACACGGTGCAGTAGTACTTTCCATAAAGTTCATTTTGACAAAGATTTTTTTTTAATTGATGTATTTATTCATTATAATAAGTAATGTTAATAAAATTACAATCAATGCATTCCATCTAAATAAATGTAATTTTGCATTGATTTTGCGTCTGCAAAATTAGTTATGGCACAAATAAAATTGTGAAAAGTAGAGCTTACTGAAGTGTGGATTTTCAAAACAATTCAGGAGACAAAAAAACGAGGCTTGAGCTTGAAGCCTGAACTCCATAAACTCTCTAAATTATTACCCTCCATTTTGCAGTAGGGTATTACAGAAGTAAATTTGTGAACAAAACACGATTTTAAAGTCGAACGCGTCATAAAATGATGAGGATTATTGATATCGTTGGGTCAAGTGCATCACATGCATGCGAAAAGCGACTCTCTGTCTAGCGGTTGAAGGTGGTTAGTACTCTGATTAGGGACTATTGTACAAGGCTAAAATGTAAATATTAGATTTAGTACTTAGTTATCTTTTAATATTGCGTAGTCTTACAGCTTGGAAACAGCGGACTCTATAGATTCTTTACAGTCGATACTTTTATAGATATTACTTTCGTGAAAGGATACATTTTTAGCTACTTCCAATATTCTATTTCTAGCTAGTAAAAATAACAAAGACTCAAACTTAGTGCATAAACAGAAAGCTTCCAATGGATCCACAAACCAGTTACAAGCGTACTTGTGTGACATACTTCAACAAGGTTTTTTATATTATTGAAATTACATCATCGCCTGAGTACACATTAGCAACGTCTTACATTTTATTATTGTGTTGGAACAAGTCTGTCTGATTGATGATTTTTATTTTATTGTAAGTACAAAAATTAAAGTTTTTTTTATCCACAACGAGGAAGCTTAAATCTCCCTACAGATTTCATAAAATATCAAAGAAAATTAAAAAATCAGGACTCATTGGAACCTACCAGAAAACCCTCCCTTTGAGCTGGCTGTAGGCGATAAATCTATTTCCTAGTTTATTGCTCTTATTAAGCAATAGAATCGACATCACCCAGTTAACTGTAGAGGGGGGTAGGAATTTTACATTGCTCTAAAGATTTTCATGGAAACCCCAAATGACGTCACGCCTAAACATTGTTGACAAAGCTCGGAAAAATACCAGCCTCAAGCTGAGGTTAAGCATAAAAATACTGTTAAAAATAATTATAATTGCGTGCTGTTGTGGGATAGCATTTCATTATCCTGATCAGTAACTGGGAGTCTAAGGAGAGTTATGTGCTCAGAAGTTGTCTAACGGGAGTAGTGCTCGTCCCTTCTAGAGAAAATGATCAAGGGGTCTGCTACCATTTCCAAGTCGTTTTCCCAGGTTATGTATAAAATAACGAGTACAGGAGTAAAGTTATACAGGAGTAATGAAGTACCCATAAAAAGTTATGTCAACGTAGAACCTCCCCTTAATGAATGATTAAGAACTGGTTTTGGTGTATCGACACAGAGTTCAATTAAAATACATTTAAATATAAGCTGTCAGCGCCAGAGTCGTCTCACAGTATATATTTTAACATAAAGCCGTACATTATGTATCCCAGACCTTTAATTAACACTTGAACCCTTATGAAACCGCTTTTGTATTAAGTTTTTCTGTCGACTAATTTACGTGCGTGAAACTTAATTCTTTATTACCATTAATAACTTGTTTTTGACATGCGACTACGAGGAACATCGCACGGCATTGTCCGATTCGAAAAGTTTATGAAACCTATAATTTACAGTAGCAGCCACGATTTGTAAAGGACCTGGTTGATTTTAAAGCAATAATATGCTTTTTGATTTCACGGAGTATGGAATTGATTTCGTGGTTCGGAATTCGTCAGTTTGAATCCTATTATGCACTATTCGTTGAATAATGATTTCCACTTTTTTCACTTCAGTACCTAAATAAGATATTAAGCTTTTGTTTTAAAACGGATTACACTTATAATTAATAGTTTATACCTACACAAAATGGGTATTTTTGGAAAACATTAATCGTCGTTGTTTTTAAATAAATCAATCAATCTTAAATATACGGACATCATAATAAAGGTCATCTCATCAACCAAATTCATATTGTATCAAATTGTAGACGAGCGAGTACGCCATATGAGTGCTACAAACAATCAAGCTACGAGTAACTCGTAACGTGTCTCTTCGTTTACATCGACACAAAATATCGGCACCGTAGCTAAGAAGCTCGCTTTATATGCAAAACGCGATAATTATAATGTATGGGGATGCGCTTGAGCAATCTTTAATACGTCTACGTAATTTACGTCTCTACTGTCCACGATTATAATTTGACAATATCAATCAATCGATTTGTAGTAGTGATTAATTTTTATAGTGAATGAAATTGTAAAATTTTATTTTATTTTTTATTTTCATTTTATTTGAGCATACTTACACAGCACAATATTATTTAATTCATCAGTTTTTAATTATGCCTTAAGCCTAGGCGCAGACCATCGATTTTTCGTCGGCCGATAGTTTAATCGAGCAGTTGATCAGTATGGGCATGTATGGAAGAGCGCACATTACACCGATTTGATTTGGCCGATTCTTCATACAAATTAAAATCGGGCCCAACTATCGGCCAACTAAAAATCGGTGGTCTGCGCCTAGTATAAAACTTTATTAAATGTGTTTGATAAATATGAATTGAGAAAAGATAAGTAAAACCATGTCTATGCTAATAAAACATCGATTTACATAATTGATGCCAATTTAATGTAAATTAACACAATTGCGTAATACTATCTATTTTATATGCATTTGTATTTACAAAGAGTTGTTTTGCTTATTCTTTCTTCGCTTCTTCTTTAGCCGCTTCGTTAAGCGGTATGGCGGGGCGGAAGGGGTTGTATCTGTTATAGTTAGGGTTGTATCTGCCGTCGTACTGTTGTCGCGCGTCGTAGGGGTACCGAGGGTCGTAGGGGTAGCGAGGGTCGTAGGGGCGGTTGAAAGCGCCGAAGCGGTTGTTGTAGTAGGGGTTGTTGTATCTGTTATATTCTGGGTCGTAGATGCTCCTGTTTCTCGCGTCGGCGAACGCTGGGAGCGGGGGTAGGGCTTTGCCGTCAGCGGGGATATGCACTCCTGATGGACGGAAACCTGGAGAAGGGTTGCTAATGTTAATATTATAATATCTATATTTATAAAAGCGAAAGGTCAATGATTGACTGATTGACGAAACTACAAGCGCTAGGAGTCGCAAATTTTGCATGGGTCCTTTTAGAACGTAGATGCTCACTAAGACGGGGATTTTGGAAAATTCAACCCCTAAGGCGGTAAAACGGGATGCACGCGTGCGAAGTCGCGGGCGGTCGCTAGTTTCTACATTAAGTACAGATGACACCATATCAAGTATCAACCATTAGTTGCACTATGTACAATATTTTAACCAAAACATCTTTACTGTTTAGAGTAATTAATTCTGGTTAGTTAAAGTATTTACAATAAATACAAAATATGCAACCGTATCAACAGCCTACTCTTTTCGTGCTATTTTGAAGTTAGTTGAAAAATAGTGAACTTTTCTTCTGCGCGGCCTCTACTTTATACAAAAGGCTGTGTCTTTATGACTTACTAAATATAAAGCTTACGTAAAAGTTTGCATACGTATTCTTACCATTTTCATCAGCTACGTAAGTCACCTGGATTGGGGTGCCTTCAGGGGAAATGTATGCGTAGCTTCCTTGAACGACCTGAAAACAACAAGTTAGTATTTTTTAAATCTTTTTGCATGATTATTCGTAATGATGATGATGATGATGATGATAATTTATGGTACAGTCAGCGTCAAATTAGTTCGTGAAACCCAAAGTAGCCAAAAAGTTCACAACATGTCTTTGTTACAGTTGGAATTTATGGTTGTGTTGTCAACTTTTTGGCCACTTTGGGTATCACGAATTATTTCACGCTCACTGTACAAAAGACTAACTAAGGTTGAGTTGCATCACCTAACTTTGACCGTAACTATAACGATAACCGGCGTTTTTTGTATGGAGATTTATAACGTTTGTCAAAGTTAAAGTAAGATGGTGCAACCCAGCCTAAATTCATATTGCAATGCCAACCTTTCTGTCAATTTATAACGAAACAGATCAGATAAATATTCATACCTGAGTTCCCTGAGGCTCCCCATTATTATCAATGTACGCGTCTTTCAAGTATCCAGCTTCTTGCGCCTGCTTGCCGTCAGCAGTTGTGAAGCTAATGACATGGAAACCAACACATTAAAGTATACAAAATAAAGAAGATGACCCAGAAAGATAATCTTTTGCGGACATTTCTGGTTTTATAAACTCATATAGTAATTAATTATGTCAAGAATACTATTGTTTTGTATGTGGAGATGTCATAATAATGCTTAATGGACCTCCACAAAAACTTGTTAGAGCATACTAACAAGTTTTGGTGGGATAATACTCATTGTTTAAATATTTTCATGTCAAAATACATTATAATTATTTTACACACTTGTTTAATTTCTAGGGTGCAAAAAGTATCTTAGTCTTTAAATGAATGTGCTTTCAACTTCTCGTTTACACTTTTTATCTATAACTTTGGAAATTGAGATTTTCTTAGCTCAAAATTAGCTGAATGAAAAATTTAATGAAATGTTTTATTCAGCGACACAAAACAGTGAAGTAGGTACTTAATATTATATTTTTATCATACAAAATTATCTGCTTTTAGCACTCGACCCCTCATTTTTAATTGCCCAGAGCGTTATACTTTAAAAAATGCACAGCATATTAAATGAAACTAGCAGTTAATAAAATAACAGAAGATGATAAAGGCGCCAATAGATACATAAAATGGTAAGCAAACTAAAATAAATACATACTTAAATGACCAACCGAAAAATACAAGATCTAAAAACTTAAATAAACCCATAGTACATTAGGTAAGTGGAAATGATTTCCGCTGCCTTTCAGCTTTCACCAAGGATCTTTATTTAGTACTTTAAAGTTCAATCAAACTACCTAAGATAAAAAGAAATTCCAAAATAATATAAAACCTCCATACCTGAAAGAGTAAGATCCATCGGGGTTGTGTTCATTAGAATAAGTCAGGATGGGGATAGCTGGTCCAGCGGCGTTGTTATATTTGTACTGGTTGTAGTAAGGGTTTAGGGGGTTGTTGATGCCGCCTGGGAGGAAGGGGGTGGAACCTAAAGGGGGGATGACGGCGGCCGCTGTAGGTGTGGGGTCAGCAGGCCGCGCCACGCTCAGCGCCATCCAACACGCCAATACGCAAAGTAATAAGCGGAGCATCTGTAATGAAGAAGTTTTTGTTATATTAAGGTACATTTATTGGTAGCTTCTTTAACTTTTTGTAAAGGCCCGTCAAAATAAGGTTTGTTGATATGTTAACCACAAATCTAAAGCACAACTACTCTGCTCGCAAAAAGCACAATGTTTTCTAAATAACTGAAAAAATTGAATTTCAGTTAGTCTGAAATCAATTAACTCTTCATGACTGGGGACAAAATTGCATCTGAACTAAAGGAAGTTCTGATGTTATTTTCAAAATTAAAAATTTCCAAAAAGTAGGTACTCGTGTCAATTAATCGATGTCTTACCTATACCAAATTGGACAATGGATGAAAAATAAAAAAGTATTTTTTATAAAGTAAACAATTCAGAACCATTTTATTTTTACGTCAGATATTTCTATAGGTATGACAAAAGTACTGAAACAAAGTTTAAAGTGAAAAGTTAATCCAAAAATGAATTAAATTACTTCATTGTTTTGGTTTCAATTACGTTTGAACTAATCATAGCCATATCTAATCACAAAAAGTAAGTGAATTATGATAGGAATTTGCATATTTTACAGATCTACCTACATACAAAACAACTTAATCAAAATCACAATAACACATCTTAATTAGTATTTACAAAATAACTACGTAACTCTGAAACTCCATTGTTTAACGCCATAAACCTACTAACATTGTTTTAAATGCTTTCCGTTCTTTTTTAATTGAGCGACATTTTGGTGACACAATAACAACTAATTCAAAATTAATTTAAAAAGTATAAAAATAAAAGCAGACCTAATGTGTAATAAATAAAAATAAAACAAAATTACTTTAAATAATGAATTTGGTTAAAATTATTACTCAAACTTATGTCAATAAATGAATTGATATTATTATTAAATAATTATTAAATTAATATGCATTATTTAGAAAAATGACACATTTCTCTCAAAAAAAATTTTATAAGTTTAATTATTTTTTTGTATTTTTTTTTGTTTTCAATTCACTTTTTTCAACAGCACTTTATTTCGCCAAAATATATTCTCGACACTGTTCTTGTTACCTTAATTTTCTAGTTCAGTCAAATCCGACTGCTCACGTTGTACCCAAACTGCTACTGTTGGCGTGAGATCCGAATATTCCATTTATAGGTAGCAGGGTTGCTTTGTGCCGATATTTTTTCGTTGTGCCATCGTTCAAACGTGAGCCTCATACACGTCCCTTCTACCCACCAGTGGTTATTAACCGAGTTGTACATCTCTTCAAGCTCGCTTAGCACGAACACAAGATGAGACTAAGACATTTAGCAATTTCGATCCCAAAATTGCTGTAAATGTTACAACTGGTACATAGTTTCACTCAATTATGTTGAAGAAATATCTACGGCACAGGTGGTCTTTATAGGTATGAGATTCCTTGCCGAAATTGTCGTAAATGTTACGGAGCATGCATTATCGACAAGTATCGCGATGAGCGCTTGTTACCGATAGTTCAATTTGCAATAGTTTTGTTTGTATACCTGATAACTAGAGGATGGTTATGGCAATGTAGAGCTTTAGAAACACGAGCATTTATGGTGCAAGATGCAGTTTAGGTTTGACCCACATACCTATTTCCAATATGGTTAATGACTTTACCGGCCACAAAAGACAACACATACCTACTGCTGTAAGTCTCATTTGATTCAAGATGTTTTATATGTGTATTATTATAAATTTAAAAAAGACGACTAATTATTACTAATTATGAGCAAAACTTTACATCGTATTTAAAATTAACAATAATAGCTGTGTAGTGTGATATTTCTATGGATACCTACTGTTTTTCAGCTGAAAATCAGTGTAATAATTGTTAAACACGAAACTACTGTATAAAGGTTGTGGGAGGAGCCTGGATGCGGGCAGCGCAGGACCGTTCATTGTGGAATACCTTGGGGGAGGCCTGTGTCCAGCAGTGGACGTCATTTTGCTGAAACGAACAAACGAACGAAACTACCGATAAATAAATAATTATTGTTACAAAATATGGTTAAAATAAAAGATTCTTATTCCCTTAAATTTTGACCTTCCGTAAAATAACTAGAGCATTCAGAAGTCTTGATTATACAACAGATAAATCGATGGAATTTTAACGCTTGATTGTTATCAATATGGTCTACTTATTTGGAAATAATGTTATACCAAAAACAGTTAAAGTGACCAATATCGCCCATTAGCTATCAAGGAGGACAAAAGCTTTGTCTTTGATAGCCTCCACATCAAAACAACTGATTAACAATCTGAATAACAATTAGATCTCGCTGTTACATCTCTGTCATTATTACATACACATTGTGTTTTTTAATAGGTAGCAAACTAGCTATGTATAACATTACTAATTATAATTGACTTTTTGCGGGCGGCTTAATTAAGTTACGGTATCAAAGAACGGGCAGATTGCGTATATGTATTGTTTTTATCGGACCTGTAGGCATGCACTTCGTTATTTTAAATTAAGCTCTGGTAAAAATTAAAACAATGTCCATTGTCGGCGGTCTGTATAAATAACCATGGTTGCATAATGATAGTTACGATTAGACATAGTTGTAGCACATTATAATGGAATATTTATTGAATTATTTATTTTATAAACAAATTATATTTCAATTAATTTGTGGTAAGGCATAAACCCCAAAAGTGGGTGTGATGGGTTGACATAAACGGGGACAGAAGAGTGGGTTCATCGTAAAAGAAACATTTGAAAAAACTGTCTAAACTACGAGATTTATATTACTGTAATACAAAATAACGAGGCCATAGACATATTTTTGCATACGCATTTACTACAGAATATTGCATACGCATAACAACAGAATTTATCGTTATTAGTGTAATGAAAGATGTAAGCAACTGCGTTCCAGATAAGTAGAACACATCAAAGCTTAAAATAAATGTCTAGTGTTGCCATTGTTTCCATTTCCTAAACTCACTAAAAATCCTCATAGGATCATTGTAGTGTTTAATTAGTAGGGAAATGAGAAATCTCATTAAAATAAAAGGGAATATTAAGGTGTAATTTGCATTTTATAGGAGCAACCTAAGTAAACATGGCGTTAGTGAAGTGTACAATGAAAAAATCTACAAATAAAATGAAAACTCAAGCCTGCAAACAATCTGCATTAGGTATTATAAATATGATCTGGCAACACTGAACCGGATGTTCATTCTGATTTACTGGGTAAAGTACTAAATTATGCACCTATTAATGGTTAACGAACCCTAAAATGCTCGCAAAATAATCATCATTACCTACACGTAACACTTGTAACACAAATTCTTAGCCTTCTTAAAAAGTATACCTACCTATTACATTTTATGCTCAGTTTTTTGCCATATGGAGGTACAGTCGTCAGCACATCAGATTATAAATTTTGATTTAAAATAGCACTTATTACGACCACAATAAGTGCTACATTAATTTGTTTAACGTGCCGCCAACCGTACCCATACTTCTATGCAAGCATTATGTATTATTATTACGCCAATATACGCAACGATCTAACATTGAAACTTTTAATTAAAACATCTTCTATTCCAATGCGTAAATGGCTTTCATAAACTTTTATGTAGTAAGTTACAGTTATATTAAGCTATTTGAGTCTAAGTTATTGAATAAAACTACTCGTAATATGTATAATAATACCCATCTCAGAAATTGCAGACACGCAATTTTTTTTGCCAGGAACTTTGTTAAATAACTCGCATTATTGAACAAGCGATTTTATCAAATGATCTCCATACGAAAGATCTTCCCTGCAAGGTTATAATAAAGTAGGTATAAGACACATCTTAGATTTTCCTGTCAATTTCTTGTCCATGATCATTTTATTATTGCAGCAATAAGACGGAATTTATGGACTTAGTACTAATTTAGACGATAATCAGGTACCTAACTTATGTTTCCTAAAGAATATGAGCGTGTCATCGAGGTAACTTAAAGTTATACTGAAAAGTTAAATAAATTGCAAAAAATATTACAGTTACATTTATTCATCAACAGCCCTTTACAGTCCACTGCTGGACTATGAGCCTCCTCCACTATGGTGGAGGGATTTGCCATAATCTCCACGCTTGGCAGGCGGGTTGGAGATCGCAGTTTAAAAGATTGATGTTTTACAGAGAGCGCTGCTGCCCATTCTCTGTTTGTTGTGTAGTCCCTAAGTCGCCTCTTACGACACCCGCGGGAAGAGTAGGGGTTGGTGACAAATGTATTCTACTCTGCCGTCACCACACGGCGAATTTATTACTTTTGTCCTAAAGTAGAAGCGAGGGTAAATAGGCAAGTCCTCCATCTAGTAAATTAGAGAGGGTAGTGCCACGTAGTGCTCCTGCAGTAGAGACTAAATGATCTGTTTGTTGACGATGAATTTTCTTTCTTCCTGTCCTTAATTTAAAAATAATGGGAAGATGATCAAGTATAATACTGAATACAACCTTCATTAAAGATTATAAAGATCATCTGTTTATTATCATATCGTCACCGTCGTGGCAGAATTAAATAACTGACACTTTTGGCAAAAACCACTTTTTCCANCCGATACTGAGCAGCATCTTCTTATCAGCAGTATTGGTATACATTAGTCCTAATCAATAATAAATACGTTATAATTATAAATAATGGTTTATTTATAATTATGGAGTCGGTGTTGGAAGATTTGAAGATTTTATAGTTTCCTTGAGCTGTCACTTGACAGCCTGGCACACTTTTACGATGGTGGATCAAAGTATTTTGGTTTGACTATAGAGCGTGAGAACACGCACACAGTCATAATTATTTTAGTGTGAATAAAACTAGCATCGAAATTACCTAAACTTGACATGCCACGCTAGACGTAAACGCTCAAAAGTCAACGTACGCAAGGCCGCGTGACGTCATTATATCCGAATCGAGCGCAGCCGGCGTACTAATGGGATGGAAAATATTTTTTTCCGGCTAAACTATCAGTTTTAGAAAAAAACTTTTAATAACATTTATTCTTCAAAATAAAGTAACCTATCGACCAGTAATTTTTAAAAATAAAAATTGTGAAAAATAAGTATTGCTATGTCCAAAAACCACATTTTCATAGGATTCGATGCAATGCGGAGACGCGGTTGGGGTGAGTGTAACTTAATGATTGTTTGTATTGAACATAATAATACATAATATGATGCTAATACCCAGTTTCTGGCCTGGGGGGGGGGGTAAGTAATACCCAGCTTCCGGCCGAGGGGGAGTCATACCTAGCTTATGCTTATGGACTGGGGGAAGGGGCTAGCCTTACCCAGTTTCTGGCTTGGGGAGGGGGGGGGGGAGGGGTCAAGTCATAACCAGTTTCTAGGGCTGGGGGGAGGGGCTAGCCTTACCCAGCTTATGGCCTGGGGGGGGGGGGGGGTCAAGTCATACCCAGTTTCTGGCATTTCTGGCATGGGGGGGGTGTCATACCCAGCTTCTGGCCGAAGGGGAGTCATATCCAGCTTATGCTTATGGCCTGGGGGTAGGGGCAAGCCTTACCTAGCTTCTGGCCTGGGGGGAGGGGGAGGGGTCAAGTCATACCCAGTTTCGGGCCGGGAGGGGGGGGGGGGGGTAAATCATACCCAACTTCTGGCCGAGGGGGAAGTCATGCCCAGCTTATGACCTGGGGAGAGGAGAGGGGCGGGGTAGTCATACCCAGCTTCTAGGCTAAGATTAAATAGATTTCCAGCACGGAGCGGCTGTCCTTTCCTGCAGCAGCTGGCCCGCCCATGGGAACGGCGAATAGATAGGTAGGTGCGTAGGTTTAACTCAGAAAAACTAAATAACAGGTAGGTATTAACTATTAAGTGTACATCGAAATGATTTTCATAGCAATGTCTTATTGTTAGAAGTTATACCTTATTGTTAGAAGTAAATAAATTAATACTTATACATTTTTATATTTTACTTGGAAGAAGATATGACTCTAACAACACTTATGTACACTTTATTTGAATAAATCGCCAAATATACCACCGCGGAGACCCCAATCGCGTCTCTGCGTGCCATTGAATCGTATGAGCGTATGGATTTTTTGCGTTATTTTTCACAATTTCCATTTTTAAAAATTACCTATCGATAG